GAAAACTCGGATACATGTTTAGAGTAATTCACAAGAATTTGTGTTTGAAGAACAAACACAAATTTTCTATTTCAGTCGCTCAGGCATTTTTTCAGTGGGTCAAAAAAAAAAAACTTTTGTCCAGCTAGGAGTTTTTTTTTTTTTTTTTCAGCAAGGAGGTGAACCTAACATAACGTCAGAAGGCACACTGACACATAAACTACTTTGTTGAAATTTTCTCATGCATCATACTCAGAATGAAAGCTGAAAGATCTTTATCTGCCTTTCATGTGTCATTTTGATGAGCAGATGTGTCTGCAGCGGAGAATTACATATTTGTGTGCATCTTATCTCATGAATTATGTGCACAATAGTTTAACTTTTCAAGTTTACTTCCTATCAGAAAGGCCTTTCTCTTAACAGGCGTTTTTGCACCTCAACTACAGTGAGTTGATCTTAAAGTTTAGTTTTATATCATTAAGATGATGGCTGATTCTAGATGACTGATTAATGTATATGCATAGGATGAAAAGGTTGAAAAAATACTGATTCCCAGATGCATCGTTATTCTCTCTTTGACAATTCAGAATCGATTCTGAGCTTAGCTAGAGGCAGCTGTATTCTGCTTGCAGAACAAACACACACACAAAACCATCAAACAAGTATATAGATTTGCATAAGGTTTCATGAAGCAAAATACAAGGGCATTCATGGGCATTATTGTACAGAATATTGCCGTGAGAAATGCTTTGCTTGACAATGTGCGGTTGCATCTGCCAGTATTTCAGTGTTTGCCCTTCCAAATGCTCTATGAAGGCATTATTTGTTACCTGTTTGGAATGCAGTAAAAATTCGATACACTAAATTTATTTACTGACATACATCTGCTTTCAAATGCAGTCTATTTGACCTGTTGCTGCTATGGCATCACCAGTAATAAATAGACAGAAATAATGCTGAGAAAAAGAGAAAAATCCTGCCCTTGTCTGAAAAACATTCAGATACTTAAAGCACTCTCAGATACTAAATGCACTTTTAATGTTTCTTTGTTACCCTTTATATTTGCTTGTGTGTTTTGAAGCTATATTTAATTAGTTAATAATTATTGCTATATGTTTTATTATTATTATTATTGATTAGTATTATTATTTGATTTATTATTGATTTGTAATTATTTAAAAATAATTATGTAAGTATGTGTCAGACTCTGTTCCGTGTTTTGTGTGTGTTTTGCTTCCTATGTTTCCTTTTGCCCTTGTTTGGTCTTCCTGTTCCGTTTCCCTGATTAGGTTTATTTGTCCCAGGTGTTTCCAATGTTCATTATGTCATTGATTTACGGTGTTCCCCATTGTGTCCCTCCTCTAGTCTTGTATTTAATGGTTTCCTGTTTTGAGTTCACTCTCCGGTATTGTATATGTCTACCCTTGCTACATGTGTTTTCCTGGTTCCCTGCGTATGATTAAAGTCTATATGTTTGAATTCGACTGCGTCTCCTCATTCCGCGCTCCGTGCTCCTCACAGTAGCGAACCGTGACAGAATACCGGACCAATACAGAACAGTAAGCGGCGCCCCCTCTCCTCTTGTTTGTTTTCCATTTATTTCTCCCTGCGGTGATGGAAATAGCCACTCGGTTCTCCGCCTTAGCCTGCCGAGATCTCTCCTTCTTCGAGTACGCCTGGGAATTCTGCGGGCTCGCCGCGGCGACGGCATTGGATGACGCCACCATCAATTCTCTGTTCTGGCTCGGGGCCAACTACCATCGCCTCATGGACTTCTCAGACACCAAGGGACTATGCTGGAGGGAAGAAATCTAACGGTGTCTGGGGAGTGTCCGGGCCCGAGCCAGAACCAGCCCGCCGGCCGTGGCTCTCTCCAGCCCGCCAGCCGCTCCAAAGTCAAGTTCACGGGCCGCCGCTCACTCAAGCCCGCCGGAATCTCTGCGGTCCAGCCCGGCGGTGGTTCCTCAGTCAAGCCCACCGAACATGCCTTTCACCCCGGTCCTAAAGAGGAATCTAAGGAGGAGAAGGCGGTCGGCTCCAGCCCCAGAGCTCGCTCCAGTGTGGGCTCCAGCCCCCGAATCCAGCCCAAAGAGGGCTTCTGTTCCCGAGTTTAGCCCACGGAAGGCTCCTGTTCCCGAATTTAGCCCACGGAGGGCTCCTGTTCCCGAGTTTAGCCCAGTAAGGACTCCTGTCCCCGAGTTTTGCCCAGAGAGGGCTCCAGTCCCCGAGTCTAGCACAGAAAAGCCTCCAGTTCCCATGTCGAGCCCAAGGAGGGCTCCAGTCCCCAAGTCAAGCCCAGGGAGGGCCACTGTTCCCGAGTTAGGCCTACGGAGGGCCTCTAAAGAAGATATTCTCCGGGTCCGTCCGTAGTGGCCGGGCCGAGTGGCGAGGCCAAGGCCACGGAGGCCGTCTGGCCATGACCTTCTGAGTTCCATGCTCCGCCTTGGCCTCCTGAACTGTCTGATCCGCCATGGCCTTCTGAGCTGCCTGCTCCACCAGGGCTCCCCAAACACCCTGTCCCACCATGGCATCCTGAACTGCCTGCTCCGCCATGGCCCCTGAGCACCCTGGACTGCCTGATCCGCCTTGGAGGTATTCCCTGTGTCCCTGTCCTGCACCAGCCTTCAGGGCGCCCGCCCCCCCCCTGGTAGAATTGTTACGGTGCGGGATGCGCCTTCCGGGAAGGGGGAGTGATGTCAGACTCTGTTCCGTGTTTTGTGTGTTTTGCTTCCTATGTCGCTCCAGTGTGGGCTCCAGCCCCCGAATCCAGCCCAAAGAGGGCTTCTGTTCCCGAGTTTAGCCCACGGAAGGCTCCTGTTCCCGAATTTAGCCCACGGAGGGCTCCTGTTCCCGAGTTTAGCGCACGGAGGGCTCCTGTTCCCGAGTTTAGCCCAGTAAGGACTCCTGTCCCCGAGTTTTGCCCAGAGAGGGCTCCAGTCCCCGAGTCTAGCACAGAAAAGCCTCCAGTTCCCATGTCGAGCCCAAGGAGGGCTCCAGTCCCCAAGTCAAGCCCAGGGAGGGCCACTGTTCCCGAGTTAGGCCTACGGAGGGCCTCTAAAGAAGATATTCTCCGGGTCCGTCCGTAGTGGCCGGGCCGAGTGGCGAGGCCAAGGCCACGGAGGCCGTCTGGCCATGACCTTCTGAGTTCCATGCTCCGCCTTGGCCTCCTGAACTGTCTGATCCGCCATGGCCTTCTGAGCTGCCTGCTCCACCAGGGCTCCCCAAACACCCTGTCCCACCATGGCATCCTGAACTGCCTGCTCCGCCATGGCCCCTGAGCACCCTGGACTGCCTGATCCGCCTTGGAGGTATTCCCTGTGTCCCTGTCCTGCACCAGCCTTCAGGGCGCCCGCCCCCCCCCTGGTAGAATTGTTACGGTGCGGGATGCGCCTTCCGGGAAGGGGGAGTGATGTCAGACTCTGTTCCGTGTTTTGTGTGTTTTGCTTCCTATGTTTCCTTTTGCCCTTATTTGGTCTTCCTGTTCCGTTTCCCTGATTAGGTTTATTTGTCCCAGGTGTTTCCAATGTTCATTATGTCATTGATTTCAGGTGTTCCTCATTGTGTCCCTCCTCTAGTCCTGTATTTAATAGTTTCCTGTTTTGAGTTCGCTGTCCGGTATTGTATATGTCTACTCTTGCTACGTGTGTTTTCCTGGTTCCCTGGATATGATTAAAGTCTATATGTTTGAATTCGACTCTGTGTCTCCTCATTCCTTGTTCCTCGCTCCGTGCTCCTCACAGTAGTGAACCGTGACAGTATGGAAGCCTGTTTCTGCCACCTGATTAAAAAAAAAAAGGTAATTGAGACTTTTTAGCTCACATTTTTTTCTTTTTTTCTCACAAAACTCACAATAAATGTGATTTTCAAAGTCAGCATACTCGTAAATTAGTAATTAAAAAAATGTAAATCAAGAAACATTTCAGAATCAGACCGTGATTCCCAGAATTGAAATTGGATCGGAACATGCAGGTGCCTAAAGATTTCCACCCCTAGCCAAAACTAGGTATCTATAACTTACCTTTTAGTGTTGAGAGCACATATATAATGTCTAGGCTGCAGTAGGTTTTGAAACCGAGTGTGTGTTTCAGTGTAAGGGAAATGAACACCGTTTATAAGTGATTGTGTGTAAACAGTAAGTAAGATTACAGATCTAGTGTGCTTCACTAATATGTTGTTTACATCCAGCTAATGAAGCCAAATAACACATTAGTTTTAACATCAAAGAAAATGTAATGCGGTCCGGATTGTTTTGCACATCCTCCAAACCCTTATCGTATCAAACATTTACTTACAAGTTAATCATACAAAGTATAATCAATAAAAAAAACTCTAAAGCAAGTATGTACACTTGTGCTAACAAAACCTTCTTCTGTTTTTGCAGATACTGGTGCCAACACTGACGTCCCTGGGCAGAACACACCCCTCTCACCTCTCGCCCGACTGTACATTTATGCCCTGCATGGGTGCCTCTGTGAGGTGGCGTTCACAGCAGCCTGGGATTGGTACTACACCCGTGACCATAGACTCGCGGGCCACACAAGTCTTTGGGCACTGCTTATTTACAGCTCTGCCATCTTCTTCATGGAGAGTCTAAGTGCGAGGTTGCAACAAAAGCACTGCCTCCTGCCAGTCAGGCTGACTGTCTACACTCTCTTCATCTATCTATGGGAGTTTAGCTGGGGGTTTCTGCTCAGGCTGTTCGGGGCCTGTCCTTGGGACTATTCAGAATTCAGGTATAACTTCATAGGTCTGGTGACGCTTGAATATGCTGTTCCCTGGGCGTTGGCAGCACTTATAGCTGAAAAACACGTTATCAGGAACACTTTGAAGATACGGCTAGATAAGTAGTTAATATAAACAGATAATAATAAACTGTTTAACAGAACATGTTAAAAATCGTTGACTTTGTATTGGGATAGAGTGTTAAGTAGGCCTGATAAATGCTACTATGCTAATAGAGTTCAACAATCGAGTTTCAGAAAGAAAAACCCCATTCATTTTCTCCATAGGAAAATTGATTGTTAATGATAATTTATTAACTTGTAAAGACAGACTTACTGTGAGCTACAAGGGTGTTAATCAGTGCTATAATCTGTTGTTGAAGCCAGCAGTCTTCATTATTCCATTGTTGTTTCTTTTTTTATTTTTTTTTTTATTTTTTTAATATTCCTGTTTAAGGGGCTGTTCACACAGAATACGTATTTGCGTCTAAAAACATGAGACACAGCACTCAGGAATGTTTTTTTTTTAAAAGCACAGCACAGAATGCTTTCTCCGCCATGTTGCCGTCAAATAAAACAGCTGCCATGCCAACTTGCTACTGTAAGCAAAAGCTCACAAAGCTTTCCCCGCCTCCAGGGGCTTCTGATTGGTCCACTGTTGTGGAACTGACATTGATGAGCGGCGCTGTGTGTAAAAGTTTAAATTCTTTTAACTTAACACAGAATATTAAAAACATGGTGCTCATGTGCTCGACACTGCAAGAGACACGGAGCGCAGCGACTATACACATCCATCTAGCGCATGTTTACATAGAAAAACTATGGAAAAGTAGCACATTGGAATGGGAAAACGCTTTCTGTGTGAACAGCCCCTAACTGCATAATAATAATAAAAATAAAATAAAAAACTACATTACCCATGATTCTGCATAGAAATCTCCACCATTCAGATAACTGAAGCAAGCAAATCCCACCCACTCCTGTGAAACACTGTGAAAGAAACTACCTACACTCTCAAACTACTTAAATATTTGTATATATTATACATATTTTTGAAATAAGCAAATATATGTTGTTACAAAATATGTTGTTTCCAATACACAATAAACATACTTAAAATAATGGTCTTATTTATCTTTATCTGTCATCTTTAATTTAATTATATAATTTTCAGGACTTCATGGGATTGTCTCTCACTTGTGATGTTGTGATTCACCTTGTAGCTGGTTGCTTTGGTTCATGGCTTACAACTCTTTAACAAAGACATTTTAAAAGTCTCTTTGGGAAAAATGAATGGGAAAAATACTTCCAAAACCAAGGGCGATGACAAAGTGGACCGCACTGTTGCACTAGATTGAAAAGCAAAAATAAAGCTCAATTTGAAATTCAAGAAAACATTTAGGTAGAATGCACATAACAACAACAACAACAATAATAATAATAATAGAAAAAAGTGTATATGTATATAACTGCCACTACAGGCAAGAATTGTTAGCACAATACCAACATTCTGGCTTTGGTATGAAACTAGCTCTGGTACCTCAGCATTGTTACCTTAGGCAGCAAATTATCAGCCTCACATAAGAGTGAAATAAAACTGTCAGGTCTACAAGTTCACCTTTTCTGTTTGCTCTGTTTGTTTTGCCGTATTTCACTTCTACAGCCCTGCTTTTCAATGAATTGAGGGCAGTGAACCGCATCTCACATGTTTACCTTCATTTCTATCACAGTGTGGCCAAGTGTGCTGGATAGCTGCCAAATATACTAGCTAGCTTTAACCACGCATTACCTAACACTATCTTAGCTTTATGCTCTATAAAACACCACTGAATAGCAGCATATTGTTGTCAGGTACCAAAATTTGACGGTACCACAGCATTTTACATTTTAGATACCAACTCGACCTACAGTACCAACACTGTAGCCAGTCAGTCTTATGTGATAGCTGCATTCATGAAATTAATATAGGAAAAATAATTTTGCTTTAGATATATATATTTTTTATTTATAGGTGTTGAATAAATTAAATTAAATTAAGCAATACTACTGATTATGATGGAGACTTGCCCTTACATTAATTGTATTTAAGAACCTTTTTATGGACTTGCACTTTGTCATGGATATTATGATTATTGTGGACATTATACTGTGGTGGGTACATAAGCATTACAATAAAAACTGCATTAGAATGAATGTCGTTATTAAAAACCGTTGATGCATTTGGTCCTAAACCAGTGTTCTTGTGTGTATATGTGTGTCAATAGGGTCTCTTCCTGTCTGGGTCTTGGGCAACATACAAAGCGACACAATCAAGTGATCGTTTCCACTGATACCTAAAAAAGCCACACACAAAAACAATAGAGTTAACAAACAGCTACCGCCATTCACACTGATATACAGGTGCATCTCAATAAATTAGAATGTCGTGGAAAAGTTCATTTATTTCAGTAATTCAACTCAAATTGTGAAACTCGTGTATTAAATAAATTAAATGCACACAGACTGAAGTAGTTTAAGTCTTTGGTTCTTTTAATTGTGATGATCTTGGCTCACATTTAACAAAAACCCACCAATTCACTAGCTCAACAAATTACAATATGGTGAAATGCCAATCAGCTAATCAACTCAAAACACCTGCAAAGGTTTCCTGAGCCTTCAAAATTGTCTCTCAGTTTGGTTCACCAGGCTACACAATCATGGGGAAGACTGCTGATCTGACAGTTGTCCAGAAGACAATCACTGACCACCTTCACAAGGAGGGTAAGCCACAAATGTTCATTGCCAAAGAAGCTGGCTGTTCACAGAGTGCTGTATCCAAGCATGTTAACAGAAAGTTGAGTGGAAAGTAAATACACAATTGGTTTTCTCTCACTGAGAATTCTTATCCCTTACAAACAGTTCTATCACTTAGCACGTATTAAACTATTAACACAAATGCTCATTGAAGAACAAATGAATACCACACTCACGCTGTCTCTCCAAAAATAAGAAGGCAATCCCCTATAGACAGATTGAACTCTTTGCCATTCATAAAGACGCTGGAGGACCCCTCCTAATTAGATTACAACAAAAAGTAGGAAAAGGAAAGTATAAGGCTGAAATAAAAATAAAGGACAGAGGGAACATAAAAAAGATAACTGAACTAAGAAATGGTGTAAACGGATGAAGGATAGATGAATGTTTTACCAGTTGCCAGATCCAGCCATCAGTTTGTCTTCTAGAGGTTTCAGATGTACCCGAACCAAAGAGAAACGTCTAACAGGCAGAAGGTCTCAGTCAGCATTGTGACACTTTACAATAAGGTTACATCTATCTATCTATCTATCGACCACACTGATTTGCTTAACAAAAATACTTTCTCTGTCTTTCCTGGAACAGGATTTTTATTTTTACTTTTTTAACAGTCAGTGCAAGACTCATTTCTCAATACATAGTCCAACTGTAAATCAGTACCTTTCTGTCCCGCCACTGTTGCATGAGTAAGACATAATTGGACAGGAGACAAACTGTGTGAACTACTTAAAAAAAACTGAGGTTCAAGTTGCAGAAGTTACGTTTCCTGTTCCTGTGATGGTCGATTCCGTTTGACAGACAGGCTCTGTCTCCATCTACCTTATGCATACGTCGATACCTTGCTGATGGGAAACTTCTCACAGTCAGACCTCTGATTAATGACCAGGATCTCATCTGACTGACTCCTGCAGGAAGTAGGACTGATTGGTTCAGCTAGGCTTCTTCTACCCACCTCAGTCTCAAACTGTGTTCCAAACATATCCACCGGCTGACCACTGGCCAGGGCAGGCTTCTGCTTTTCCACCCACTCTCTGAAGCAGAACGGTGCCATCACCTTCATAGTGTTGAGTGGGTAAGGGGTTGGCTTGATGGGTTCAGCTGCAAAAATTAAACAGTTACTGGATTAACAGAATTATTATACACAAGTAAGCACAGCATACAATGGACACTTAATATGATGTTCAAGGGAATATAATGATGTTGGTTTTAGGACTTGCTTAAAGGAATAGTTCACCTGAAAATTAAAATTTACTGAAAATGTACTCACCCACAGGCCATCCGAGATGTAGATGAGATTGTTTCATCGTTGTATCAAATTTGGAGAGATTTAGCGTTACATCACTTGCTCACCAATGGATCCTCTGCAGTGAATGGGTGGTGTCAGAATGAGAGTCCAAACAGCTGATAAAAACATCATGATAATCTACATGTCTCAAGTTTGACGTCTCATTCTGATGGCACCCATTCACTGTAGAGGATCTATTGGTGAGCAAGTGATGTAATGCTAAATCTCTAAAGTCTGGTTTGACGAAGAAAGTAAATTTTACAGAAATTTTCATTTTGGGTGAACTGTGCCTTTAAGGTGCCATGGGAATGAGGCCTGACACTGACATTACTTGTTATTTCACAAAACCTTCCGCTATAGGGAAAGAACAAATCCTTTGTACAGAAGACCTCTGAACAACAGCACTCTGCAGTAATGGCATGTTAAATATAAGGGCATTTAACCTTGTTTCATCATGCATGAATCACAATAAACAACAACAGTAACGTGAACAACTGTATTTACCTGGATCAGGCTTTCCTGTTTTATTCTGTTTGGAATCCATAAACCTGACGTATACAAATGCAACTCATTATTTGTACATACATGCATACGCACACAAAATTGACAGGACTGAGATACATATATATATATACACACACACACACACACACATTTTAGTGCCTAAATTATAGTGACTGCATCTAATAAATATTTTTGCTATTATATGTTAGAATTCATTATACATGTTTAAGCCATTATAAGGTATTCAGCTTCGGGCACATCCCTATAAAAATGTGTAGTTGATATATGTAAACTATGAAGGGAACAGAAATACATGTAAATTGCATTTACCACCATATTCAGTTTTATCCGAATACAGATACAGATATAAACCATTTTGATATTGCTACAGATACGGTTTAAAATATTGGCTTCGCTGCACACCTATAGTGTGTGTGTGTGTGTGTGTGTGCGCGCTCGCGTTTTTGTGATTTATGAGGACACAAATTTGTATAATGACATGGGTATGACATAGGTACATAGGTAAGAAGGTGATTTATGAGGACATTTTGAGTGTCCCCATATTTTAAAAGGCTTATAAATCATTCAGAATGAGTTTTTTTTTTTTTTAATCTAAAAATACAGAAAGTTTCCTCTAAGAGGTGGGTTTAGGTGTAGTTTTGGTGTAGGGCAATAGAAAATACGGTTTGTACAATATGTATAAAAAACATTAAACCTATGGAATGTCCCCACAATTCACAAAAACAAACCTGTGTGTGTGTGTGTGTGTGTGCGTGCACATATTAAAAGGATTTCTGGTGAAATTATTTTCTAAAATGATCATGTAACAGGAAGACTGGAGTAATGCCTGCTGAAATTTCAGCTTTGACAACACAGGAATATGTTTGTTTTTTTTTAACTAAGTTTTAATGTTTTTAATTTAATGTATGTTTTTAAATGGTAATACTATTTCACAATCTTACTGTTTAACTTTTTTTAAACATAAAAAGTCAATAATAAAAACGATTTATTAAGAGAAACACTGGTGACTTACTCTTTGATGATGGGAACAAGTTGGGTTCCCAGGTTCTCACAGTAGAACCAACGTTCAAACAAGACATCTGTACTATTATCCACAAAGTACCTAGCAGGAGGGAAATTAAACCATCTTTTTATCACTAACGCACATCTTTTATCCTTTATTCCACAATTTAGTTGTGTCTAATAGCATTGTTGTCCAGGTAAGGGTACAGAAACATCAATAGGCAAGTGTATGATCTTGAGGTCACAAGTAATTACCAATGCGTGTTGGAGTTGACTTGAGAGTATGGTTAGAGGAAAGGTAGGCGTAATGTAGGATAGATGTGTCTGGGAGAAGTATCCCATGGTACCTGAGGCCATCTGTCTCTGAGCGAAGCCTCCTCCTCTCCACCACTAGCCCTACTGTGTTTGCGTATCTCTGAGGAGAGTGGGGAATCCGCGCTGGAAGAAGGAACATCTGAGAATAGCGGCAAAAACAAGGCTTTTGAGAATACAAAACGTCTTTATAGACTAAAATGGCTTGACATGAATAAAGCCTATCAGACAAACAGCAGAGCCCTTTCAGAGGCAGCACCCACTGAGACAAATCCAGATGATGCTCACCTCTCCTTCTCGAATGTGTATGTCTTTATGCTTGCCATTCTCTATCACTTTCACAACCATGTCGCCCCTCACCTGGTAAAAGAGCTGTGACAAAAAGGCAATGAAACAGGAAGTCAGTGTGAAGAATATCTGTGAACTGTGGATAACAAATATTTCACTTGTTTCCCTTTGTTGGAAATCGTTAGCCTTATAACTGTGACCTGTATTACAAATGTAGTGCCGTTGTGTCAGAAACAGTTATAGCCTTGGAATAAAACTGCATGCTAGATGGGGCACAAGTGTTTTTTTTCTTCCAAAGAAAATCTAACCCTGTGAACTTTATCTGATTAAATAACTTTACAGTCAAACCTTCACAAAGCTTAAATTACACTCAACATAAGACTTATGTAACATATTGTGTCTCAAAAGTAAACTCTCATCATGTGTGGAAAATCTAGAGCAAATATAGCCATGACTGAGATGGATGGTTTGCACTGACCTCTAGTGACCAAGATTAAAACATTAAACAATGAACCAATGAGACCAATGAGAGTCCCGACTGGCTCACAAAACTTACAGTGGGTAAAGAAAATAATCAACCCCTTTAAAATAATCAAATTTTTGTTGTGTTGCAGCCTGAAATGAAGACGGACACAGTTTTTGTTTTATCCAGCTTTATTTACTCAGTGCAACTTATAACATCCAAGATATGTCAGAAAAAAAATACAAATAAATAAAAAAAAACCTTGTGTCAGTATTTTGGTGAACCACCGTTTGCTTTAATTACAGCCTTTAGTTCTGTTGAGATATGTCTCTGTCTCTAAAAGCTTTGCACATCTAGACTTTGTCATATTTGCCCACTCTTCTGTGCAGAACTGCTCAAGTTCAGTTAAATTTGATGATGACCGTTTGTGGACTGCAGTCTTCAAGTCATTCCAGAGATTTACAGTGGGGTTTAAGTCTGGGCTCTGACTAGGCCATGCAAGAACATTCACTCTTTTTTCCGTTTGCCACTGTGTGCTTTGGGTCATTGTTGGAAGGTAAACCTTCTTCCCATTGACAACTTCCTGGCAGAGGGCAGCAGATTTTCCTGAAGAATTTGACTGTTTTGCCCCATTCACTTCTTCTTCTATCCTGACAAGTGCTCCAGTCCCTGCTGCAGAGAAACACCCCCATAACAGTATATTACAACATCCATGCTTTACTGGAGGAATGCTGTTATTTGGATGGTGAGCTGTATTGGATTTCTGCCAGACATATCGTTTGGTGTTGAAGCCAAATAATCACATTTTAGTCTCATCTGCCTCAGAATCTTCAAGGTGTGTTTTGGCAAAGCTCAGTCTGACTGCATGTGGCCTTTCTTGAGGAGTGTCTTTTTTCTTGCAACACAAATACAAGCCACATTTGTGGAGAATTTGTGATATTGTTGTCACATGCACACAATGATCACTCTTTGTCATAAATTCCTGCAGCTGATTCAGAGTTGCTGTAGGCCTCTTGGTTGCCTCTCTGACCGGTTTCCTCCGGCTCTTTCATCCGGTTTGGAGCGACATCCTGATCCAGGGAGGGTCTGTGTTGTACAAAATACCTTCCACTTCTTAATAATAGACTTCCCTGTGCCTCTAGGCATTGATAAAGCCTTTGAGTTTTTTTTTTTTTTTCTTTTTTTTTTTTTGTATCTCTCTCCTGACTTGTGCCTGTCCACTTTATCCCAGAGATCTTTTGACAGCCTTGCCTTAACACCCATAGTTAATTGTTGTCTTCAGTTGCACTACCAAAGACTGAAATGCTCCAGGAAAGCTCTTTTCATGCTGAGCTGATCAAAATTACTACAGATGATCACAGTTGAAAGTCAAATGGCTTTGTGTGCCATTGAGAAGGTGATTAGCTACACCTGAATGAGTTTACAAGTCATTTTTAGGAGGGGGCTGATCCTTTTTTCAACTTAGTGATTCAGATTTTTTTTTTCTTTTCTTTTTTTTCTGTTGGTGTTATATCGTTCACTTGGATGTTTGAGTAAATACAGCTGGATAAAACAAAAACTGTGTCAGTCTTCATTTCAGGCTGCAACAAAATGTGATTATTTTAAGTACCCACTACCTACACTGTAAAAAATAAGTGTAATTTTAACTGTAAAATTTTTTAAAAATGCTACGGAAAAAAATGTTAATAGGTTAACAATAAGTTCCTGTACTATATACAGGGAAAAACTGTAAAATATCTAACCAGACATTTCATGTAATTTTACAGTAAACTGCTGTTAATTTTACAGTTTTTTAGAAGTAAAAATAACAAATCAATGTATAATTTACAGTTAAAAACTGTAAACTGATATTCCCAGAATTCCCTGCACGACACTCCACATTTGAAAGTATTTTGTTTAAATAATCATGTTTTTTTTTTAAAGTTTTTGTTATTAGTTATGTATATTTGGGCTTTATGTTACATCTTCTGTTGTTTAATGAAAGTGTAATACATTATATAAGTATCATGTGTGTTACCATGATGGTGTTTTGTGTTTGAATGAATGACTCTGTGCACCTTCTATATATTAGTATATACTTCTGCTTGTGGCGAAGCTGCTTGTGATGAGCTTTGATTCTTCATGTGGCTTTCTCTTTTACCACCTGCATTATTATGGTGGTTGTCAATATTTTCATGGTACAAAACAGATTTTAATAGCAGTGTGCATTGTTGAATTTACTGGTTTACATTCAAATTTTCCTGTTTGTAAATTACAGTTTTATACTGTAAAATTTTGAGGTTTTGGCCGTAAATGTGTTTACAGTTTTTCTGTATTTTTCACAAAATTATTCTGGCAACCACAGGCTGCCAAAATTATTTTGTAAAAACTACAGAATTTTTTTTTACAGTGTACGTAATAAAAAAAATATACAAATAAATAAAATTGTGAGCTGCTCACCAAGAGTCAATTCTATTAACTTCCTGCAGTCATTTGATTTGGAAATGTGCCACTGTAAATGTGCTGTAAACGACAGAAGTACAGACCAGAGTAAAGAAAAACCCCTAAAACTAGCCAATCAGAAATTATTTGTGCTTGTAAATCATTTTGTGTGCTGAAAACGGGTTGGCTGACATGTCTTCGTAGGGCGGGGCTTTGGAGAAATTGTGTGTGGGTAAAGTTAACAAAATGCTGAAGTTTAGCAAAATTACTGAAATTGCTTACAGCACCTTTAATTAACATAACAGTTAACATAGTGACATAATAATCAGTTTCTTAATGCTGATATTGTGCAGGGCTGCGTTTCTCGATAACGATTGATCTTAGAGCTTAAGAGCGTTTTCTACGAGTCATTTTACGATCAGTCATTATTATTTCACATGTGTTTCACAAAAATGCACTTAACACGATAGCACGCAGCTGTGCTTTCAAGTGCTACTTAAGAGTCGCTATCCATTTGTCAAGTGCTGAAATGTCACGTTGTAGAATGGCTAGTCATTGTCGAACATGCTTGTTGTGATAGCAATCCATCTAATTTCTTATTTCCGTTGCTTAGTCTACTTGTGTGAACGTGTATTGAACTCAAATAACATAAAAAGTCCTGTAATTTCTTCTTGAGCAAGTTTAAAAACAAAAATTAACTGGAAATGTTGCACGGTCAAAACACGTATCGCTCAATTCTTGCATAACACAAATTCAAACGGTCCATGCCAGAAACGACATCAGCATCATTTTCGATAATTATATGAAACCTTAATTATTTAAGTAGAATTATGTAGCGTCTGGACCAATCAAACACACAATATATATTTAGTTTTTATATTTAACAAATACTCTGTAACCCCCCTCAGTTAAAAAGCCATATGAGGACCCATGAACCCTTCCCCCCGGAATGCGTAACACCCCTGGAAGCCGAACCGGCCCCTTGTTGCATGGCAACCAACGCTGATATCACTGGGTTTATTGGCCAAAAGAATGTAAAGCAGGGAAAATCCCTGCATGTCCCAGGACAAAGGCAGAATAGAAATGGACTGTGCTCTAATTAATTCATAGGAAAACCTTTCTTTGAATGATTTAGCAATTACGTTATCCACACAATTGCTTATTTCACACCTATATCAATAAACAAATAACTTGTGGCTCTTACATTTATATTTTGAAATGTTTAGCCTAATTATCTTCACCTGATGTGCATTTGCTACTAGGAGAAAAATCTATATAAGCACATACATCGGAGTGGAGACACTAGCAAAATGGCTGAAACCAAAAAACAAGGAAAATACATTTTTCAAAAAGAGGAAATTAATATAATTTTAGAGGAGGTGGAGCTACAAAAACATTTAATTTTCAGCAGGTTTAAGGGCAGTCATACAAATAAAGAAAAATTAAAAAATCTGGGACGATATTGGCACAAAACTAACTGCAACAAGGGGCATTAAAAGATCAGGGAAGGAGGTCAGGAAGAAGTGGCAGGACTATTCAAGCCTTGCTAAAAGAAAAAGGGCACAGCAGAGGACAACAATTAATAAAATAGGTGGTGAGCCTAATGACGCCCCCCTTCTTACAGCAGAAGAAGAAAAGGCACTGTCAATCCTTGGAACAATTGCCTCAGATGGGATTTGTGGTGGTATTGACCTCCATGGAGGAGAAGGTTTGTGTCAACCTGAACCTGAGTCAGTTCCATCATGCTCGCAAGAGCAATCAGGTTCACCTCCTATTGGCAGACACCTACCATCTCCAAGTCCTCCCACCAGTTCATCCATGCACCAGCCTCAATCTTCAATTGTTCAGGCTACAGCCACAACACCTCAGCGATTTGAGAATGTCTGTGGTTGTAGTCAGGACTTAGTGCAGCTGGAGCGAGAGAAACTAGATGTTCTAAAAGACATCAGACAATCTCTTAAAGAGGCCAATGAGATGGACAACAACATTCAGAAGCAAATCATTGAACTCAAGAAGGCCAAGCTGGCTTTGGAAGAGAGGAGAATGGCACTGGAGGAGATTAGATTTACAAGGCCCTCCATTTCAGTGCAAATTATCTTGCCAGATGAGTCAGGTAATATTGTTTAATGTTGTTTAATCATTAGTAATTATATGTTTTAATATATGTTGTGAAACATGAAATATTATTTTCCATAGGACTCATCACATTGTGCAATGTCTTTTGCAGATCCTGAGGAACAAACCACAAACTTGAATCAAACAATAAAAAAAACCTGTTTAAATTCAATGTTTTGATGTTTGTTAAAGGTCCTAATTGAACTATGGCCTAATCCTGGCTTAGTCTAAACCCTTTTTGTTGAAACCAGTCCATATGGCTTGCCTGCTTATTTTTGAAAAGTACTACAAGTAGCATTTAAATTGGAAACACTTACAATAAGAATACTTCTGCTGTAGTATTTCATAAGACTTAGGCTTTGAGTGGTTTAAGGTAATTTTTTATAAACGTGCCTTAGAAAAAACATGACTGGTGTCCATCTTGAGACAAAACAAAAGCACTGATATATTTTAAGATCAGTCAGAGCAAGTTTATTTCAGTTGAAACAGCTCAGACTTGCATTTTAGTCTGGGACTAGGCTTAAGCCTTGTCTGTGAAACTGGGGGTATATGTTTTATTACAGCTTGAGTCTCGAGGGTGTATGTGGCTATTTACAATTAACTTTATATATTATTAGGGCCCATCTATTATGTAGCCTATCCATTTCTATAGGTGCAGAAAAAGGTTTATTGTGCACATTCTTTATCAGTACTGTTGTATATATAAATGTACTGTACATATGTATACATTTATAAAAGCACAACCTTTGGCCATTATGAACCTTACAAGAGAATAAATTCAGGGAAGAGGTAATTAATGCAATTTCTAAAATCAGGGATTCAGTTTCTTCAAGTGGGGCCTTCTGCAATTAGGTAGAACCAACAGGCAGTGTGTGATATGTGAATATTATCACAGCATGAAAATCTTTAATCACATGGTTCATGCGAGCAATTTTAGGATAGTATATAAAGTTCACACTTCAGTAGTCTTGCAGAGGAAATCATGGCTGCACTACAGCGAGTTTTTCAGTTGAGAGTGGGGCAAAGGGAAAGGCAAAGACAGAGACGACCACGGAGTAGACTGTTTACTATAAATGCCTTGATCAGGCAGCATCAAAATCCTCTGGATATGCTTGATGATATGGCTGTCATTGACAGATACCATCTGCCACGAGGAGAAATAGTCCAACTGCTCAATGTCTTTGGGCCTCAGCTGATGTGTGCTACAAGGAGGAATTTTGCCTTGTCCCCTGATGTGCAACTCTTAGCTGCTCTGAGATATTATGCAACAGGCAGTTTCCTTCAGGTTCTTGGTGATGGACTTGGACTAAGTAAAGCATCTGTGTCAAGAGCTGTACAAGCAGTCACCTATGCATTGCTTCCACTTGCTGCTGAACACATTCAATTTCCAGCATCAAGACAGGCCATGTCAGACATACAGGAGTATTTTTTAACTCATTACCATATACCACAAGTCACTGGAGTGATTGATGGTACTTTAATCCCCATCAGTACACCATCTGTGGATGGCCATATATATATATATATATATGCCACAAAGGTTATCCAGCAATCAACAGCCAGGTGATCTGTGATCATAAGTGTTTGATCACAGACATTGTTGCAAGGTGGCCTGGGAGCACGCATGACTCCTTTATCTTTAGCAACTCATCTGTGGGTCAAGACGCCCAAAACTCACAGGGACAGTGGAGGCTGCTTGGGGACAGCGGATATCCACTGAGGCCATATCTGTTCACCCCTGTTGCTAATCCTGTCAATAACAGGGAAGCAGATTTCAATGAGACTCACCGTGTTGCCCGAAGTATTGTAGAGCGCACTTTAGGGTGGTGGAAGCTACGCTTTCTCTTCTCTTTCTCTTTGTGCCACAAAAGTGCTGTGCTGTAATAACAGTAACAGCTATGTTGCACAACATTACAGTGCGGGCAAGAGTGCCCTTGGACATCAGGGAGGAAGATGAAGAGGTGGAGGAAGAGAATGAAGATGGCATGAGACCTCATGATGACCAACCAAGACATGTTCAACACATGGCTGGGTTTCATGCACGCCAGCAAGTCATTGACACATTTGTTTGAGTTCCTCCTTTATTTTTTCCCTCTTTAAAGCACATTAAAGACAAGCCATTTCCCTGTTAAATACAACATTTTTACTCTCCATATACAGCAGTGTACTTTTTCATTCTATAATTTATTTGTGTTCAGTCATGTCATTTTTATATTATTTCTTTATTCATTATTATTTCTATATCGAATTATGTGTAATGAGTTTTAAAAAATGAATAAAAAATATACGCAAAAACAAAATAAAAAAGTCACATTGAAGAGAAGTAAATTTTAAGTGCAATTTGCTGGTTGTCCAGCAGGTGACCTCATAACTCTGTCTCTTTACTATGCACTTAGGGATTTACAATTACTCCAGGGCACTCATAGATCTACGAAGATTTTCAAGTACTACTTAAAGGGGTCATATTATGCGATTTCAAGTTAACTTTCTCTTTGGAGTGTTACAAGCTCTTGGTGCATACAGAAGATCTGTAAAGTTGCAAAGACTAAAGTCTCAAATCCAAAGAGATATTCTTTATAAAAGATAAGAGTCAACCACGCCTACCTAAAACACCTCGGTCTAACACGCCCCCACATATCTATGTGGAAATATTAACATAATGCCGCCCAAATGTGCACGCAAAGAAAGAAGGCGTGGTTTCAGGAACAGCAGTAGTGTTGATGCAGCCATGTCAGGGAGACACTGTGTGATTCAGTGCGAAAGCAAAAGCACTTTATTTGGCCTTCCGGAAGTAGATGCAATTAGGAATCATTGGTTAAGATTTATTTACAACAGAACAGCACAACCCAGATGTTCGAATTTGTGCAACGCATTTTATGGACGACAGTTTTTTTAACCTAGAAGAGTACAAGGCTGGCTGTGCACAAAGGCTATTTCTAAAAAAAAAAAGGGTCAATTCCGACTTTGCTATGACAAGCTGGCGCTTCTGAATCAGTGACTGTAAGTATGTTTTGTTATTTGTTTAAGTATTTGCTATTGACTGTTCAAATGCGGAGTTTTGCGCAGCGCAGAGTAACACGCCGCGTGTGTGTGTGTGTGTGTGTGTGTGAGGGGAACAGGGTCACATCACAGGAGAGTGAACTGCCTGTCAGAAATCATAGCACGTCAGCAGTCTTAAATGCAGCTTGTGTACTGCATCTTCACTGTGTCTGTCACGCGACTCTGTTGCCCTTTTCGGGCTTGAACTGATGGTAAAACTAACGACATTATTAACTGTCTTGATATTTACCTTGAAAGCTGAAGCGATTATAGTAAGGGGCGTTACATTTCTGACGGGTGCTTGTGGTGTTCGGCCAATCACAATGCACTGGGTCAGCTGGCCAATCAGAGCAGACTGTGCTTTTAAAAGGAGGGGGCTTTGTTAAAAACGACGTTTGAGAGAGGCGGGGCATAGAGGACCTACAATAATGTACAGTATTTGAAAAATAATGTGTTTTTTGAACATTAAAGCATGTCAACATATTCTGTTACACCAAATAATGATCTTTAAAATAGCATCATATGACCCCTTTAAGTTACGATGGTTTTGGGATATGGTCCACGAGTCTAAGATGATTCGTACGATCGTTTTTACGATCAACTTAGGCATACGATGCTTTTGAGAAATGCAGCCCAGGTTGTTATGTATTTTACTTTATTGGTGGTGCTTTCGCTCAAGTTGTCACATTTGGTTATCTTGGCAAATAAGTCATGCATATTATGCTGTAAATATATAAAACTTTAATGCAACTAAATGATACTTAGAGTTCACTGATTTTTGTAGCCAAACATTATAAAATCATGAAAGACAATAAAGTGTGAACGACTCTTAAATACAAATGTGCTCTCAGAAGCAACAGGGAATTGCATCATCACAAAGACTTTGTCCCCATTAAAAAATGCAAAGTGAAGAACTATTGCAGTCCATGTACTGAAATGTAAGCCATTCGGTTGTGGTGTAAATCCTAAGCAATAATTAACAAGTGGAGAGCTTCAAAGCAGTTGAACATAACGCTGTCAATATCAGATCATCTTTAATTAATAGTGTTGCCCTCTTGTCCTTTTCCTGAAAAATCTAATCCCACAGCTGCTGCGTCTCAAGCACTAACTTTTTGTGAACACCATGGCTAATTCTGTCCTTATCACTTGTTAGCCTTCTTGGGTCTGATTCTCAGAATGCAGTACAGTTAATTAAAATAAAAAAGGAAGTCAGCTAAACTTAAAAGAACATGTCTTGTTAATTTGTAGCTTTTTCTATTTGGTACATGAATAGCACCTCACCTCTTCCCCTTCCTCAATGTGATAATCCTTCCTTACGTTTGGACCACCAACATACATAATATTCAGTTGATAAAAGAACCTAAAACACAATGTAAAAACAAGGCTTATTTTTTTTGTAAATGTAAATATATAATGGCATATTTTTGGTTGTTTGTGAAAGATCATTTTAACTCACTTACATTAATTTGTTGCATACAGGAGGTAGGAATGAACTCTCATTCTCAGCAATCCACTTGTCAATGTTCACATGAAGAGACTGGTTGGTCATTTTTCTCTAATTTGAGAATACAGCAAGATGCTTGCAATAATCTGTCTGAGTAGGCAACAACGTTCTGAGCGGTGGTTTATTCCATCAGGGAATTTGCGACAAACTACCTTTGAGTTATTGAATAATGGGGGTGGTGCTTATGCATGCAGAATGTGACCGTGAGGTTGAAATCCATGTTTACGCAGCAGTAACCTATCAGTGCTGACACCGCAGCATAAACCTGCATTTCAGTATAAAGACCATTTATTTACAAGGTTTTGTGTGGAATAAGTTCTGCATTTGCATTTAATTGACTCAGTACTGATGGTCCAGCAGGTTCATGACCTGCTTCACCAGTCCTCTGGAACCATATTTGGTTAAATACACTGAAGCCCTGAGATAAACTTAATTATAAAATACAGTTTTGATTCTGGGCCTAAGATGCCCACTACCACCATTCAATAACCCAAAACTAAATTCATATTTTATGACATTTAGAATGCAAAACTAATTCATTTATTATGAAAAACATCCATCATCTGTTCATCAAAACATATTTAAATACCAGTATTCAAACATTATAGATATTAAATCTAAAGGGAACAGAGCTTTTTCAGTTCTTGGTCCTACACTCTGGAACACTTTGCCTTTATCCATCAGATCATCCCCTACGCTATCTTCTTTTAAATCATCTCTTAAAACATCATTTGGTCATATGATGCGATTTCAAGTTTTCCTTTCTCTTTGGGGTGTTACAAGCTGATTGTGCATAGATTAGATCCCTGAAGTTGCAAAGACTAAAGTCTCAAAACCAAAGAGATATTCTTTATCAAAGTTAAGACTCTGCCACACCCCCCTAAAACGGCTCGTTCTAACACGCCCCCACATATCTACCTCACTATGTGGAAATATTAGCATAATGCCGCCCAAATGTGCACGCAAAGAAAGAAGGCGTGGTTTCAGTAATCGCAGTTAGTGTTGAAGCAGCCATGTCAGGGAGACGGTGTGTGTTTCTAGGTGAAAGCAAAAGCACTTTATTTGGCCTTCCGAAAGTAGATGCATTTAGGAATCTTTCTCTTGTAAACAGAAACTGTTGTAGTGTCCAAATTCTAACTGTTTAAATCAATAAAATGAATTGTGGTAGCATTTGTGAATACCAGTACCATGTGTTATTGCTTTAATGCATTATTAATTATTCAGAGTTGACAAATATTTCATTCTTTTCTTTCTGTGTTAAACGTCGAATAAAAGGGATGTATTTTCATAATTCGCTTCCTACAGTAGTGCTGTAAATTTCCACTGAAATACATAATTTCATTCATAAGAAAACCTTATAAATATATACATTTCTTGTTCAAATATTGCAATTGTGACCTCAATGTCAAAATTATATGTTTGAAATTCAAAAACTTACCAGACTGAGAGCTAAATGTATAGTGCCGAATACAAAAAGGAAGTGAAAGTGAGATGTGGCCAAGTATGGAAACCCATACTCCGAATAGTGAACACACACACACAGACACATGTTTGTTTTTGTGAAAAGTGGGGACATCCCATAGGCGTAATGGTTTTTATACTGTACAAACTGTATGTGCTATTGCCCTACACCAACCCTACCCCTAAACCTACCCCTCACAGGAAACTTTGAGCTATTTCAGATTTTCAATACACCCCATTCGGTGGGATTTATAAGCGTTTTGAAAAGTGGGGACATGGGGTAATGTCCTGAAAAGTCACCTTCTCCTTGTAATACCTATGTCATACCCTTGTCATTATACAAATGTATGTCCTCATTTGTCACAAAAACGTGCGCGCACACACACACACATCCAGTGAGTAGTGAACACACACTAACATGAAAGTAATTTGCAGAGAATGCATGCATAGCTTTAGCCTTGCTTGCAGAAAATAGACTAAACCAGAAATGCAAAGTACAGATCTTAGATAAAATATTTTTAGCTGGAAGTGCACACAGACAGTGACAGTGTAAAAACACAAAAGTGACTTCTGTCAAGAGCAACACAAACAAATGAAGCTTCACACCATGATTTATTTATTTATATACATTGTTTCATTATCTGCTAAATATACTAACATACCGTACAAGCTGTCTGAAAAACACACATTTGTCATTTTCAATTCAATGTATGGATCTCATGTGCATCTGAACACATTAGCTGTTGAACAGATTTGATGGCCTTGTCACTATGATTTTCTGTAAATTGAGAGGATAACCGCTTCTCCTTTTGCCACAAGTGGGCATCTCTTTAGCTTCCCTGGGATCTCTAAATGGCTTATGGATATTAAGCCATTGAGAAAAGTGAGAGGTTTCAAACAGAAGTGTAGGTCATGCAAAGTCAGATGAAGTGTAAATCATACAAAACCCAACTAAAATTTTAAAGAAACAGTTTGCTCTTTGACCAACACATACTTTTCACATTGTCACAATTTATTCAGTTGTATTACTTTATCTCAGTGTTTAAGCCCTGCTCTAAATACTTTAGGATCCCTCCTGAAACCTGAGAGTATACACATATGACAAAAAGCAAGAAACGAAACAATAAATAGAGAGGCTGGTAACACACACAAAAAGAGATGCGTTTACATTAGAAAAAAAATGAGGAAGTCAGTTAAAACAGGAAGAGAGGGTTTTTTTTTTTAAGTCTACAAAAATAAATATGCACACGAGATAAATGGGACATTAATTTAGAGCTCCGAACAATAGCTGCAGTTTCAGAATGCAGGGTGTCTGGTGGAAGAGGGGAAGGAGTGTGCGTCAGTACATGTTGAGGAGTCAAAACTGGAATGCATCCTGAAAAATAGCTTAAACTGAAATGAACCCACAGCCCACCAGAGTTATTTCTGTTGTCATGTTATTTCATCACTTCAGCTTATTTGCAATGCACCATCACCCTGACAACTTCTCTACCCCATTATTTACTGACTGCCTCTTTCGCTTTTATATATAAAACACTATACATTCCTTCACTGATTTTAGAAGTAAAACTAGAGAGATCGGTTTCAGAAACGGTTGTGCTTTTAATTTATTTAAATATTCATTTAACATTGGTCGATAGTTTGGTGAATATCTCTTTCTCTGGGGAAATTGTGCTGTTTTTATCAATGCAGATATGTGGGCCATTCTGTAAATCTGGACCAATGTAATTTACATTGCTAAAATAACTTTATGGTAGGTACAACCTGAAGAATTCATTTAGGCCATTCAAGCAATCCCAGAAGACATTTTCCAGACAGTGAGTGTAAACATGTACACTATAATTGTTGGGTTTGACAGACTATTCAAAAAGTGAACAGGGCTGAAAATTTTTCCAAACCATTCATACAGTTCTCGAAACAAAGCCACATTTCTCAAAACTTTTAACACATTTCACCTGTTTTCACACACATTCCCATTTGCTCAGTGTTTTCTGCAAAAACCCTACACAAGAATGGCATCATTTTGCACAGGTTTACCCATGTTCTCATTTAAAAAACACAATCACACAATATAACTACCTCAAGAATCACAAAATGAACACAAATAGCACACATTTATCCATGTGTGAACATTCAGTAGCAAAACTGATGACACACAGGTCAGAATCTCAGGATGATATGCACAGGAGCACAAGTGATTCTGCGTTTTGGAAAATGAAACCTGGTAGCGGGAGACAAACAGCAATAGGAGGAGAAAAGAAAAATGAAGGGGACGAGGTCAAAGGTCATTTATTGCTAATGAAATATAAAGCACTATAGTTGAACATGTTCTTGCGCATGGAATGAGCATAAGGAAAGCTGGCCTGCAGGCTCATCTACAGAGTTTTTACACTACTCACACATTACAGTTACAGTACATAGTAGCAGTTCTTCAGATGAGAGAACTTTCACTGTTCTTTGTACTGTAAATACTGTAGCACATACCCTCAAACTGATAACTGTTGAATTGAGTTGTAGCCGAGTACTTCTTACATGTACTGTATTTGTGCAGAACTGAGAGTCGACTGTCTAGGGGAGACAGAGAAAGTATTTTTGTCAGAAGACTAAGAAACTGTTATAGTATAACAAATAAGGGTATCCCTGTTGAAAAAAACAGCATATGCTGGTTAGGTATGTTTTGATGCTGGGATGCTGGTTTATGCTGGTCCTTTGCTGGTTTAAACTGGTCCTTTGCTGGTTTAAGCTGATCCTTTGCTGGTTTATGCTGGTCCTTTTGCTGTTTTATGCTGGTCATGTGCTGGCAAAGGACCAGCATAAACCAGCAAAGGACCAGCTTAGACCAGTTTAAACCAGCAAATGACCAGTTTAAACCAGCATCCCAGCGTCAAAACATACCTAACCAACATATGCTGTTTTTTTCAACAGAGATTATAAGGATATATAAAAGGATATTACCAATACTGTAATGCAACTTGGGAGAGGATGATGAATTTATGTATTTACAGTAACTGACAGTATATTCCAATGTGTGTTTACTGTATATGCTGTTGTTTGGTTTTTGTAGTTTTCTCTTCTAGTGCTTTTCATCTACTGTAAGATCACTTTACAGTAGTACAAAGAAAGTAAACTTTTCTTTAAGTTATTGCTGAATTTTACTGTATTTGCAGCCCTCTATCTATGCTGCCTACTGTAACAGACATTGAATTGCTAAATGTTTCCTGTTTCCCAAAAGGAGGTTTTTGTAACAGTGTCTTGAATTGATCTCACTAGTGTTCTCTAGGCAGTGAAGCAGTGTGTGTAATGTTTGAGTCTGACAAAAGAGAATGTGTTTTTGACTAAAATATTTGACTTTGACCTGGAAGTTTGAAGTTTGCACAGGTGTGTAGTTTTGAGATTGTGTTTATAGTTGTGAGAAAATGGTGAATTGTTTCATGAATTGTGTGTTAGCAATCATAAAAACTGTAAACGTACGTGCATTGGTACCATACAACACACCTGTTGGGTCACAAACCGTTTTGCAAAAAGTGTCCACGAGTTACTAGCCAAGTTGGTAAGTGAGCAAATTAGCATTTTTAACTGGGACAGGGTAGAGGTGCTAAAACCCCATTCACTGTTGTTTACTAGGCTATTAGGTTCGTAAGAGACACTTTTTTTCTGTCACTGAACCTAACATATA